CCTTTGCTACCCCACCCGCTACTCGGGAAACAGAAGGAAATCGCACTCAACACACTTGTGTGTTGGTGCCTTTCCTTCTGTTTCTCCTAGCTATTGCTAGCTACCCGGGCGGTTTAAGACGAATGTCCCGCTCGCCTTCTACTTTCGTTTAACTAAGTGGGCCTCGAAACTACCCTACTTTTCTTTCTTGCCCTCTTAGTCTGCTCTTGTTTCGTTGCTTTTTCTGTCTTTCTAAGGCTTTTTAGGTGTCTACTAGTTCTTCGTTGCGCCAACAATTTGGCGCTTTTTGTACAAATGTTCCCCTGGGAGTTAGGACGCTACTGGAGGCCCCTGGCCTTACTACTACTTTGACCGCGCCGAAAACGGCTCTGTGTGTGTGTCCACCCCTGGGCAAAAGGTTTTCGTCCACTGGTTCAACGGTAGGGGGTGTCTTGAAAAAGCGCCGAAGCCGGCGACTTGTGTGTGTCCACCCCTGGACAAAGGGTTTCCTTCGACCACTCCAATCAGGCAGGGGCGTGTGGCCTTCTTGTCCTACCACACGCAATGAAGCTGTGGACAAGAAGGGGAAGCAGGGACTGATCATCCCTGTGTACCTGCACCTTCAACTGTTGACCAAGCTTTTCCACTCTCGATTTGATTCATGGTGGTTTCCATGGGACTTTCCCCACCAACAGGTTTCCCACAGCCACTTTTGCAGCTGAGTTGCGCCGCTTCGTCACTGCAGTCAAGGGAAACAGCTTTTGTTCAAACACCTACAATTGTCTCAGACTTTCCGCCATGCTGTTCCACCGCCTTTCTTCCCAACGTGACAATTGCGTTAACTGAAAACCAGTGTCAGAGTGTGATGCAACATTGGGATGCTGCCCAGGTCTACATCTTCCTCTCCCTCTCGGTCTACATCCTGGGCTTGCTACTGCTGGCTTTGCCTTCCCATCCTGGTGCTTTTTTGGTGCGTGTGGCCAATATCTTCGCCTCACTAGGTCACTGGTTGGATGCGTTGTTGGATGGTTTCCACATGTGATTGACTGGATCAGTTCCAAACCTTTGGAGGAAGTATATCGTTGGATCATGTTGGATCCTTAGATATATAGTTAGATCCTCAGGGCTAAGGTATCAATGATGGTGACTGACAAACCTCATGTGGACGATTGATAAATCAAAGCCCACCATCGGAAGAGGTTTTACAATCCAAATTGGAGGCGATATTAATCATCAGTCTAGTCTACATTACTTCTTTTTCCTTCGATTCACTGGTCGACTGGCAAGGGTCGCTGTGGTTTGGGTGGCTTTCGCGACTGGGCTTGGTGTCAGATGGATGCAACTGACAGGCAGCTCCCTATGATCTAACTCACCCAAAGAGCTTCAATGAAGTTAAAGTGATGTACTACCTACCACCACCAGATAGCCACATTGACAATTGACATTTGGCATGAACCATCATTGAACCACAATGTTGATGGAATATTGGGTTGTTTTTGATGTATACCAACCACTGTCAAGAACCCTATCCTTGCAAACTACGCCTCACAATGCCTCACATGAAACATACTCTTTAAAGCAGACCTTTCATTTTGACGTGATGGATGGGCCGTCTTCGATCCAAGTCACGAGATGGGAGAACTGTGATCAGCCGATGATGGCTGCTCCTAGTTGTTGGCCGATGGCCTATGCAAAGCATGCACCACTGATTCAACACTTGCAACATGGGCCATGTACTCATAGGAACGGCTCACAGGACGTGTCTGTGCTTCCTAGTGAAACGCACCGAAAAGCACATACCATCTCAAGCAGTCCACAAAGGGGAAGAGGACGGTGTGAAAAGCGGTTGGTATTGGACCAAGGCGGTCCAAGGCAGACCAAACCAACAAGGGGGTACCTTAATCACGCGACATATATGTGAATATTGGGTTTGTCCGAACTTACTTGCAACAGTAAGTAAACAAGCAAATCACCATGTTTGAACAAGGCCTTTACTAACCATCATCATCCACTGTTACTGGTAATAGGACAGACCCAATGTGAATACATTATATATATAGAGAGAGAGAACCTCCTTTGCAGTCCTTAAGTCCTTGAACTTCACTACTCTGTGTAGTTACACGGGTCCGCGCCAACCAATGGCTTTCCTCCAAAAGCCAATTTGACTGTGCCAAAACGACGCCTGCGGCACCGCAGCAGAACCGGCAGTAGGCTATGGCGGACTGCTGGGCATTGTCCCACCAGCCTTGCGTGTGACCTTCGGCACGCAACACCTGGGCATCATCTACGGGCTCCTGCGGCGTGGCCCAAACACCCAGGAAGGAACCAGTGGACCAAGGGAAAGTGGGCGTCCCCCACGTGTCAACCGAAGAAGAGGTGTCACCTCACGTGAACCTTTGCCGGGATCTCCGACGCGGGAGTCAGCCAAAAGAGGCTCTCTCAATGAAACGGTTGTGACCTGGTGCGGCGTTGTTGTTCCTTTAAAAATTTGTTTCATTAAAAACAAAAACGCAACAAAAACGCACACACTTTTCATCAACAGTTGGTATCATCAAAATGCATGATTTGTTTTCATGATTTGGACATATTTTGTGACAGTTGCGGTCGTTTGCGCTCGCCTCAAGAGACTCCACCAATCGCACTCACCTGATCATTGCGGCCGTGATCACGTGGGAAGACTCTTGGGGCCCGGCCCATTTAGTAGCTCCTAGTAGCTTCTTGCTCCTGCCAAGATACGTGGGCGTTGCCGTCTTCGAGCCCTTGTGGGGTCTTCTCTTCCAAAAGCCCCAGAACTGCAGCGGCGTCGAGTGCTACAATCTCTACACCAGGCGCCCCGGCCGCTCCTGCCAGGGCTCTTAGGGTGTGAAGCATTGACGAGAAACAGCTTTGGCGAATGGATCCTGTTTCAGAACAGGTGCTGGAATGTATGGCCTCACATGGGTTGGAATGACACTTGTGAAACCATATACAGCGTTCATAACACGCATTCATATTGGAACAGGGGTATGGTTGGTTTCAGGCACCTCCATAAATTCAGGGTTCTTCCATAATTCCCAGGGACCTTTGTAGCAAACGATGTGATGTTCAAAGATATTGCATGTGTTACCCAACCATTCTTTGAGCAGGGTCGCCGGCGCTGAACTTGTTCTTCACGCTGATCGCGGTGCCACATTTGGAAAATCACCAGGGCTTCCATGCCTAGAACGTGTTTTGATCATCATCATCATCATCATCATCATCATCATCATCATCATCATCATCATCATCATCATCATCATC